GAACAAGAACAAGACAACGACGACGATGAAGTCACTGTCTATATGGCACGTGATGGATTGCGGAGCGGTACCAGACCCAAGGACGGCTCAAAAGCAAATCGGATCCCAGCGCACGACACCTCCTTTCCCAAAATGACCAACAAAGGATGGGTAGGCAAGCAGCGAAATCCTCCCAAGCCCGCGGAAGCCCAACCTCAACACACCCCAGTCGACGTCTTTGACAAGGCATTCAACTCGGACGACTCGGACGTCATTATGGAAGACCCTCAACTTGCGCCTGTCACTATACTCAAACGACCTTCGCCTACCACTCAGGAGAAGGACCGCGAAGCTCAGAAGTCTGGCAAACTGACGTCTTTAAATTCTGAACAGGTCGATCACGACGCCATCTACAATCGGTTCCTCAACGCCAAGGTTGAACTCACTCAACAGGAAATCTGCGCTATCTCTCCAGAGATTTCTAGGCGAGTTGTCATGGATAACAAGCCTACCAGGTCTCAACTCAAGGAAAACAAGGAGCAAGAACCTACCGGACCTACCGTTGCAAGAATTGTAGGCGACAATGCACCAGCACCGAAGCTTCCATCGCGCATCACAGAAGTTCGCCAGAGTCTCATCAAGATCAATGCTGAAATTAATGGCAACACTATACCTGCGGTCATCGACACCGGCTCTATGATCAACATCGTGCACAAGACCATCTGGGAACAATACATCAAACGACCTCTCGACAGATCTGTTACCTTCCCGGTAAAAGATGTCAACGGCGGAACAGGACGACTAATTGGCTTGGTCGGAGAAGTACCTATCGACTGCGGAAGAGCAAGGACGATCGCCCAATTATGGGTATCGGATTCTATTGACTTCCCTCTTTTGCTAGGGCGACCTTGGACATCCTCAAATTCAGTCGATATTATCGAACGGGACGGCACCTACCTCATATTCAACTACCCGGAACACAACGTGCAACTCGAACTCAAGGTCAGTACCGACTCGGACGACAATACTAATACTTCACAGACCATGGGCCTAACTACGGATAACAGACTTAGCGGAAATCGCGAACGCGCCGGGCCGGAATGTCACCGGTGGCGTGAGAAGCCGCCGCAAGACGCGACTACCAGTCATGGAGGAATGCGACACTCAATCTTATCTCTCTGCAACACCGCCACCCCGACGCCCGACGACCGACACCAACGATCTATTCGACGACATCGCCGCTCCTTCAAACTCGCAGCTCGCCCGCGCCCAATCAAGAGGCAACTCTACGGACCTCGACTACGACGAATGCCAACGCGTTCAGGCGTATATTGACGCGGCCATCCGGCCGGGTCAAGGTACGCCTCATGCCCATTCGGATTCTCCGGATCTCGCCGCCGTCACTGACCATCAACAGTTCCTTCTAAATCTAGGAGACCCTTATCATGCCCGCCTCTTCACTCGACCACTGCGCGGCGGGGAATGGACGCCTCTCGAAGACTCGATCGCCCATCTCCCAACGGGGATGCGCAGGCTACTAGGTACGTACGGCACCTTCGAAGTAACGCTCACCACCTCAGACAATAGGCGGACGCGCGTCCTCGTCACCTTGGCGCACCCTCGAACGGCTCCCGAACACACGCCCTCGCCGGATTTGGCCCGACTCCATCAAGAACCCACCGATATGAATCACCGGCACGACCTCGACTTACCTCATGAAACCTCATCCGGCAGGATCGACTCACGCAAATGCCTTCAAACACCCAGCCCATCTGACAACAGCGATCCTCTCCATCTTTCGTCTTCCCCTCTCGACCTCCCCCATGCTCACCGCGGCAGAATCGTCGAACTCGACGATGCCGGTGAGTACATCGGCAGCACGCAAACGTTATCCGACTCAAACATCTCTAGGCACCCGGCGCGTCCATTCCTCCATAGGACAATAGCTGGCAGATCGCCGCCAGCGGACGCCTCGATTCTCGAACCGACGATACCCACCACCACCAGCGACACCGGCGAGCCCCCACCAGTCGAAGCCTACCATGAACGCCACCCCGACTCGCGAACCGAAGAGACGCCCGCTACGCCTAGGTCTCGGCTTTGCGAGCGCGGACGATCATCGCCGGTACGTACCGTTGCAGCATCTTCAAGGACATCGGTGATTTACGATGTTTCCTTGAAGATTCAGTCGTTAGGTACGTGCCGGGCGAAAATTCGGAGCCGCTCGCAGCGAGACCGATGGGTAGAAACCCCGAACCTCGTACGCTCGACTCAAGACCCCGGACGACTCGCCGAGCACCTCAACGCGGCCGCCCTGTTTCGAGAAGAAGTACACCCGCCTGACGGATCGAACGCGGTACTGTACATCATCGTCGCGCCCTCTCCCTACGCTAACGAACCAGACGACTCACCAGCCGACGGTAGCGGAACAAATACACCGAATCGGCTACAGGACCTACCTCCCGAAGATCCCCGCAGATGGCCGCCGTCCTTTCGACGCTCCGACCAGATGCCGCGCTCACCTCGCGAGCGGGACACGGGGTTACCACCGAGCGAACCTAGCAAGGATATTCGACGCACGAAGGACGTGACGACGAGGTATACCCGGTACCCCATCTCACGTACTCCGCAGGCTAATCCGAGCGACGTTCCTCTCCTCCAGCCCGATCGGTACCGCTCTGCCGAGATTGGAAGCCGCTCGTTCGCGACACAACCAAACGGAGACAAGGCGTCGACATCGCGAAACCTCGCGCACCACCCAGACAATACCGCGTTCGACTCCCAAAGGCAAGATACCCACTTCGACTCCCGAGCCAGGGCGCTGCGCAGGACGATCGGTGAGTTCGCTCCATGCCATCTGAACCAGTCGGCGCGAGGCAAGGCTTACCCAGACGCAATCCAGGCATACTCCGACTCTCGACGAGAAAGGACGGCCCCACTCGAAGGCAAGGCTATGGAACCGCCGCTCGTCAAACCCGCTATGCAATCCAACGGTCTTCTTCGGCAACCCATACGACTCTCGCGCGGAACCATCGGTCCAGGCTCTCGCAATGAGCATAAAAGCTCAGGTGCGTGTCTGGACACCCAAGTCACCAGAAACACTCGCTTACCCTTCGCTAGTCTATCAAACTGCACGCCTCATTCGAATCCGCCCCCTATGTCTCATGCGCAACCCAAGATTCCGACGACGAACCTCACGCTCGATGCGTACCCGTCTCCGCCTCAAGAAACGACTTCTCAACTGGATTCTTCGCCCTCGACGACTCTCTCGCAACGGCCCACACCCGGCTCCAACGCGACAGTCAACGGACCGCTCGATATAGGACTCAAGGACAATATGATGTACGCTACTCGTACCCCCCTCTCTGACGCTGAACTTACAGAAATTCTTCGGTTCGGCAGAGAGGAGGGCGGCTGGACTCGCCTTCCGGACCCGACTTCCCCTTCGCCGGCGACAATCTATGCTCCGCAGCCCCGCCCTGCTACGAACCCCGACACCTCGTCGAACACGCTACACGCCAACTCTATACAATTCCCGAGCACACCGCACCCACTCACCGGACGCGTCCTCGACGACGAAGACTATCGGCCCATCGTCGCGGAGGCCGAAGGAACAAGCGAAGATGTCGACTTCCCTGGGTACTACCGGGCAGCC